ATGCAAGTTCTCTTGGTGGCAGAACAAAATAATGAACTCGTGATTTTAAACCATCAATCTCGTCCAACTGGATCAGCTTCATTCCCAGAAGTGAATGTTGCATCGTCAAGCCATGAAAATTGGCAAAGTGGACGTGGACGCGGTCGCGGAAATGATCGTGGTCGTGGACGAGGTTTTGGACGTGGTCGAGGTCGTGGACGAGGAAGAAGATTCCGTCCTGCTGATTTAAACGATGGAAGAAATAACAAAAAGTTCAAGGGTAATGAAGTTGTTCGCAAGCAACATGAGAGTGCTTGCTACAGATGCGGCATGAAAGGACATTGGGTTCGTACCTGTCGTACGCCAAAACATTTAGCCGATCTGTACCAAGAATCGCAAAAGGCGAAAGGAAAAGAAAGTGAAACCAACTTCATCCATGGTGAATCCAGTTTTTCGTTTGATGGTATAAACGATGATACAAATCTCGATATATCTGATTTCATCGTTGATCCCGAAGATATCAACGAAAAATAAAACGAGTAAAATCTTCTCGAAGAAGAAGATGTGACATGATGTATACATAGTGTGACAAATAAAAATGTAAAATATAATGTTTAAAAAAAATGTATCTTTTGTTGTAAATAGGTTTTTATTATAATATAGACTCTTTTGTTTGCTATATTAATTTATCTTTTATAAATATCTTGAATTCAGAAAATGTCAGAGATTAAGATCAAGGATGGAGATATATGTCTGGCAGACAGTGCGACAACGCACACAATATTAAAAGATAAAAAATATTTCTCCTCTCTAAATATGAAAGATTCCGCTGGAAGCGTGAATACAATATCTGGTAATGCAAAAATTATTATGGGCTCCGGAAGAGTCAGTTTTTCAATGCCAAGGGGAACAAAGTTTGAAATAAATGATGCGTTATATTCCCCTGGATCTTACAGAAATTTGTTAAGTTTCAAAGATATCCGCAGAAATGGATATCACATAGAAACTATGAATAAGAACGGCATTGAATATCTTTGCATTACATCAGTTATTTCGGAGAGAAAAGTTGTACTGGAAATATTACCAGCATTATCCTCCGGAATATATTCCACAAAGATAAATATGACTGAATCATATGTTACTGTAAACCCGAAGTTTACAAGTACATTTAAAATCTGGCATGAACGATTAGGGCACCCTGGTTCAGTCATGATGCGGAGAATTGTGGAAAATTCTAATGGCCATCCGTTGAAAAACCAGAAGATTTTTCAATCGGGAGAATTTATGTGTAATGCTTGTTCTCAAGGAAAACTTATAACTCGGCCATCACCAACTAAAATCGGGAATGAATCTCCAGTATTCCTAGAGAGAATACATGGTGATATATGTGGGCCTATTCACCCACAATGCGGGCCATTTCGATATTTATGGGTATTAATTGACGCATCCAGTA